AGTTGCAGGCTGAGTCATTTTTGTGTTCCCCTCTCGGTCATGTGGATGGAGGACCTCAGTGACAAGAGGAGAATGTGTAGCGCTGAGCTAATACATATATATGGTGATAGCATCGGGGCTAATGCTAAAGCTAACAGACTAAGCTGAGGTTCTTCTTCCATGAAGCAGCCTCGCACCAAGGACCTATCAGCATCCTCATCTACCCAGAATGCTTTGCATGTAAATAAAATGGCCCTGTCCATGTAATATATTTTTAAACTTTTAGTTTAAAAATGATAAAAACTAAACAGCCTACAGTATTTTTAGTCTTTATTTTACAGTTAAAATATATGTTTATTAAATAAAGTCTAATGTTACAACTAATCAGGGAACCCTTTAAAAACACAGACTTTGAGATGTGCTGCTGTCATAAAATTCAAATGATCTATTTCTTTGTTAAAAATGGTCATTTCTTTGTTGAAACATTTGATATATTGACTTTGCTCCACTGTAAATAAAAATATGAGTTTGTCAGATTTGCAAATATCAAATTTAACTTTGTACCTCCATGGCATCAAACGACAGGTTGCAGGAGATCTCAAACTTCTTCACCAGCATCTGCTCCTTGACGTTATAAATGCAGACAAACTTCGACTGTCCTCCCGCCAAAACAGACTCCCCGTCCGCAGAGTAACACAGTGAGGTAAAAGATCTTGAAGGAACAAGAACCCTCAGTTAAACCCATCACACCAAACAGAACCAGGCTGGCAGCTGGGGTCCCACTCACTTGCCCTTGGCGGACTGCTTGGCAGTGATTTTGTCCGTGTCTTTGCGGCCCGTCTGCAGGTCGTGGCGTCCGGCCAGCGAGCCGGTTTGCGCGGCTGTTTGAGGGTTCCAGAAGGAGATCTCTCCATTCAGAGTGGCCACGGCTAACTCCTGACCGTCAGGGCGGTACGTCACACACAAACCTGGAAGAAAAGGAATGTTTGATCTGCTAGAGACAAAATAAACAAATAATATCCTTTGAAGAAACATATATAACTAGCCCTGTGGTCTGGATCACTCTTAGCTACTATCACACTAAACATTAGTCCAATCTGTGACAAACAAACTGAGCTACAGCCATTTTTGTGTTTTAAAAGGTCAGCTATTTGTGGCCAACTCTTAAATCATGTCGACTCCAAAAGTTAATCAGTTGTAGTTCCGCATCCAGTGATTACTTTAAAAGAGTTTCATTGAAATCTGTCAGGTGGTTTGTGAGATATTTTGCTAACAGACAGATAAACATGATGCAGTGAATTAACCAAATAGAAATCTGGACATCTGGTGACCTCTAGTGGCAGCAACAGAATGTGCTGAGCTGTGCAGAATGTGTGAGCAATGTGAAAATAATCAAAAAAATTTTTTATATTTTTTTCAAGTGAGAAGATAAGAAAGAAAATAAGAAAAGGGAAAAGAGCTGAAACTACAAATGTATGAAATATACTCAATAAGACCACAAGACACCCCCCCAACATCCACACCTCCACAAAAATAAGAAAATAATCAAAATAAATGTTTATTTACCATCAGATGTGAGGCGAAGTGTCTCTTTGACCTGCCAGCTGTCTAACATGTCCCACAGCCGGATGGTCCGGTCCCAGGAGGCGCTGGCCAGAATGGACTGAACTGGACTGAAGCACAAAGAGCTGACCGGACCCTCGTGTCCTCCGAGGACCTACAGGAGAGCCACACCCTATAAGTAACTGTGTCAGCGCTTCACCAAGCTGAGCTGGTCTGTGAGGTCTAAAGGTCTGTACCTCCAGCAGTCTGCCGGTCTGCATGGACCACAAGAAGATCTCGAAGGAGTCCTGAGCTCCAGCGCTCACCAGCTCCCCGCTGACATCCACAGCCAGGGAGGAGAACTGCGCGGGACGAGGAGACGTGAACGTCCTGAAGTTTCGGTACCTGCAGGAAACGAAGGACAGCCTCAGACCAGTCCTGAACCTCTGCCAGGTCTCTGATGCTCAGAGAGGCGGAGGAGAGACGGTCACCTGTGCAGGTCGAACGCTCTGACCGTCCCGTCCAGAGAGGCGCTGATGATGACGAAGCCGCTGGAGGTGAAGGTGACGCCTGTGATGCTGCTGGAGTGCTCGGTGAACGTCACGAAGCAGTGGCCGCTGTTGGTGTTCCACACTTTGACCTGAACGGGTTAATCCAGTCAGAACTTACGGAAATTCTGACCAAACTAACATCGACTGTTTGCAACATTTTAGGTTAAAAATATTTAAATGTTTAACAATCATTAGTGCCCACGCCTTCAGGAAATGCTAGGTCTGTATTTAAATTAGGGTTGGGCAAAATCGCATTATGTGCAATTAATCATCTGAATAACCTTTGACAGTTATTATTTGACACTTGACGATTAATGCCACAGAATGGGCAGTCCAGAGATTTAACCGGTCAGTCCGCTCTTCCCTTTAATGGATCGCCTACTTCCTCGTCAGAGTCCTCACTCTGTCTCAGTCTCCATCTTTATCTTTGAGCATCCCTCTGCTCTCTGAAAAGCTTCTGTTTGCAGCTCAGTCCATCTGTCCACAGCTCGGGCCTCCACCTCAATCAGCTCCACGTTCAAACACACTAAAACTGACTAAACTAAACACTAAAATCCATCCTAAATATAAGATCTGAATACACTAATTAAAGTGCCGATCTTCACTCAACTTTTGCATCTTATTTTTCTTCGTCCTATAGATTTTTTTGGCACTTGTCAAATCGTTTCAGGTAGTGCTGGGCGGTATGACCAAAATTTTACATCACGGTATTTTCAACATTTACACCAGTTTCACGGTATATCACGGTATTTTTCTTTTCATCACAGACCAGCTGATAATAAAATGTACAAACCCTGTTTATTAACTTTTCTCTTTTACTGTTCCTCTGTCTGTGTCACTGTTTCCCTCCTCTATATGTCTTTTCTCTGACTGGTGGTTGGAGACAGTAGTAACACATTTTGGTCCGGTCGTGAAGGAGGAAGGTTAAGAAAATATTATTGGTTCTATTGTTTTATGTTATTTAATAAACATTAACAGCACGACTCACCTTGCACACCAGTCAACGCAACTCCACTACAAAACTTCTCCCTCCAGGCTTTTCACAACAGAACCACGCTAAAGTCTCCATGCGTCTCCATATTAACGTTGCATGTTCAATCTAACCGTGCACATCACTGAAGAGGTGTTTACTACATTCAGCGATGGCGAAAACGGGATGTTTTTTTAATGTCAGTCAATATAAGCAGCAGAATCTCCACCCGCCACTGCAACAAACTGCTCAACAATAACATTAGCATGCTAACGCACATAGCGGTGCAGCGAGGAAAAGTGTCCCCAGAGAAACAGTTCACTGGCAGCCGCGACGAAACGTTCTGAACGTGTTCAGGCTATTTAAACCGGTATGTCCAGTATTTAGAAAATTCATATCATAACAAAAATAAAAAACAGTATTTGGTACGAACCGGTACACCGCCCAGCACTAATTTTAGGCGTGAGTCAGACAGGAGTTTGGAGGTTTTAGGTTAGTTCGATGGGGTGGGGGTGAGAACAGAGGGTGGATGGAGGTGTTTTCCATGAATCTGCCTGTCTTTCACTGCAAAGCACTTCAAATATGATGAACATAAAAAGTGTCTTCAATAATTTATCATAACTCTTGTTTTACTTGGCCTGTCAACACAATTTCAAAACTTGTTTGTAGCTTGAATTCTGTACTTTTGATCCAAATGGGACAGTTTCTTACAGAGAGCTTGTGTTTATCACTACAGTGATTTAAATCTGTCACGTGATTAGGACATATAAGGACTCCAGTGGATTAATCGTCATGTTAATCAATATCAGCTAATTTCCTAAATTAATCATGATTATTATTTTTATCAATATTGCCCAATTCAAATTTTAATCAATTTTTAGATTTTACACAGGTTCAAACAGTTTTATTTTTACAAACTGTGAGGCTGCAACAGAGAACTCACTTTCCCATCATCCCCTCCTGTGACGATGTACTGTCCGTCTGGTGAATAAGCCAGGGCAGCCATGTTGTTGAAGTGTCCCTGCTGCTTGAAGACGTACGATTCACTCTGCCACTCCCACACTAACAGCTGACCCATTCCTGCAGATTAAAAAAAAGGAAAAAAGTCAGAACTGATTTTGTTTGCCCGTGCTGTCACTTGAGGAGACTGTCGTTGCTGTTTGTCCCAGCAGAGCTACCGTAGCTTGCTGTAGTATAAACATGTTGCAGTAAAGCTGTTTGTTCTCACTTTTTTCTACTTTTCTTCATTCAGCCTTGAAGAATTTGTGACCCACACTGGAGAGATAAATCACTGAGGAATTTCTCATTATGATGACCCCCGCACCTGAAGCAGGTTTTAGAACTGTTTATTTTTGTTGTTTTTATTTTTTTTCAATGATTTTTGGTCAACTGTAGCACGGAAACGTCTGCACTGATCAACATGAAATTTGGCGGGATTGTAGATGAGTCTGACCTACACTGAGCCAGCCAACGGTTTTATGATAGACCCCAGATTTGAGGAGGCTTCACTTGAAAAAGGGATGTCTGGACATATAAAAATGCTTATAACAAAAAACTATTCAACGTAGGAGCTTCAGGGTTGGTTTGATGTTTAGCTCTGATGAAGGGCTATCCATCAGACC